CAACAACCAGAAAAAACATCAGAAGAGAGAAAACAAATATTTTGGGGGGCTAGACCTGACCCAAAATAAAAGTACAGATAAAGATAAATAAAAAGAGCTAAAATCTAAGTGAAGGCAAACCAAAAAGAACTCTTTAAATACCTATTTTTACCGATCTCTAACATTTTGGAATGGATGGCTAGGAGCTTGCATGTGGAATATTTGGATAGATCATTAACTTCTAAAGCACCTCAGTTCCTCAGTTAGTATTAAATAAAAAGTCCCATGAATTCCCACAGATGAGTGCACCACTTCCCCTATGTTGTCAAAGAGCTTCTTTTGAGGATTGACTGTGAACTAAAATGTCATAAAGAAGCACTTTGCCGGTTTGCCCCTGCACGGCCCTACAGGTACACCTACCTCCATCAGACATAGCACTTTTGTGTTTTGTTTAATTTTTAATCTATTTTGGGTTGAGGTCTTAGGGGAAGGGGGATTAATTAAGTCATGAACTTATGGTACATCAAAAGCTCAAGAATACATAGCTCTTTTATTACGTTTACAGATTATATTTCAGAATGTTATCATTCAGTAACACTCATACTTCATAGTACATATAGAATACCATACCTACAAACAAAGTTGCAACAGAACATGCCAGCCATGGTAAATGGAAAATGAACATCGATGAAGCCTTTTGATTCTCCCCTCCAGCACCACCACCTTTATGTAAATATAAAATGTGTTATGTGATGGTCCCGGATAGAGGTAAAAGTCTAGAGGGGGGGGTGAATAGACTTTTAAATCTTTTTCAACTTTATGAAGTTTTCCCTCTAGATGAGTTGATCTATAATCTTTTAAGAGATTAATAGATGCACAGCGGAAGTCTTTAACCTCTTTATACTTGGTGTGAGATAACTTTCTAGTTTAGATGATGTTTAGACTGGTGACAAGAGGAAGTAGGCTTGGCAGTAGACTGGCGAGCAGGTAACTGCTTAGTCTACTGCTGCACAGGCAGTTTGCTGACTGGCAGGCAACTGCTGAGTTGGCAGTCGACTGGTGGGCAGGTTACTGCTGAGGCAACTGTTAAGAACAGGATGACTCTTGGATGGCTTTTTGTTCTGGCTTGTTATGGCGTTCGGAAAGACACATATAAATGGGCAGTGGGCTCAGCAGGAGGGTGAAGACCAGGGTACTGCTGAGGCACCTTCTGAGTGTAAGATAACTTCTAGTGGAAAACACTCTCAAGGAGAGTGAGTTATTAAGCAGTAGGCTAAGCAGTACAGTCGATGAAGACTACTGCTTAGGATGCTGCTGGCAAACTACAATCCTTTAGTGAGATGTGTTTGGTGTGTGCTTCTGTATGTATGAAAGTAAATCAACACACGATATATCCTGGTTCAGAGGTGGTGTAATCCTCCTACATCCAGTCCCACCCTATTTCAGATGGATTTCCACTAAAGTATTCAGCCCAATACAATTAGTGTCAATCTAGCCTTGACAACTCTGGCCTAGATTGAAGGTTTTTCACGATGAGTATAACACCACTCAAAGTTACTCAGTCCTTAGACTTTTCTCAATTGATCCAGTGGGGATCAAAAGGTACTCTATCTATCTAACCACACTTTAGGATCCGAACAACTGTTCTCCTAAGTGTTTACAACAATTTGTTTACAAGAAAATTTCTATCCTCCAACTAGAAACTAAGCTCTAAAAGTGTAATCGTGTATGATCTAGTCTAAGAGCTTAGTGAAGCATGAGTCTAAGCAGAGAGCAAAGTTTAACATGCACTTTCTCTTTTGCTAGATATCTCTTGAATGTTTGAAGTGAATACTCTACTTAGATGACTCAAAAACTTAATTTTATCACTCATGCTTCTGCCTATTTTATAGGCCTTTTGAGCAGATCAATCTCCTCCGTTGGTTGAGAGGAGTTGATCGTAGTCGCTGAAAGAGTTGTACTCTTTGTCTTCATGTGTTGGAGCAAGATAAGGAGATAATTTTTGCCGATCAGTTCTTCTTCGAGAGATCACTTCTTGTGTATCATCATCACCTTTTGGGACCCATGTACAATTTCTTGCATTAAATGCTTTTTAGCCTTACGCCTTTGTTATACGGCTTATCCCTGCATGTCACTGTGCACCAAGTAAATTATGTACTGGAGGTAAAAACAATTACCCTGGTGAATTTCCAGCAAAAATTTATTTGGAGCATTTGTTCAACACTTCCCACTTCTTAGTTTTATTTGTGTATCAAATAAAGTTATACTGGTAGGACTTTAATGTCCTTTAAGGTAACAAAAATTACCTAAATGTATTTTAAGTTTCCAGTATACTTTATTTGATACATTTTATTAGTCATGACTTATTAGGTGGTGGAGGTGTTCATTTATTGGTATAGTGGCATCATCAAAATCTATCAATCGTTGGGTACTAACATTATGAAAACCTTTTCTGGGACACACTTACAACGCCATAAGGAAAGAAGAGACATTGCAGCCATGTGACAGTGGCCATAGTGGTCTCACATGAATCTCATGTTCTATTACTACGTCTTTGTCTAAAACGTGACTCTCTTGTAAATAAGGAGCAACACTATATGCTATAATATCACGTCGTTGTGAAAAATGATTCACATAGCTTGATCAACATCAACAAGTATATGTAATTTTACGACAACCAAATGCTCCTAAACCCCTCGGTGTGCAACAAAACATTAAGAGACACTAAAAGAACAAAATATTACGGAGTATTACATAAATATAGAAGTTACCAACAAAAGTGCTTCTTATGCAAATTCGGTCGCTCGAATCAAACAGAAAAGCAAATACCAAAATATCTCCCAACTTAAGTTCACCCGTGCATCAATAACACTTTTTCAAACCTGAGAATTTACAAAGAAAGAGAATGCAATAGTGAATTTCTTATGCAAGCTAAATACACAGAGAATGAGAATGGAACAATGATTCAATGAAGAAATAAAGGGAATAAACAAATAAGAAACAAGTTACACTGGATCTTTAAATATATGAGAAAAGGGCCAAATAGACCCTCCTACTATTCGGAAACCGTCACTTAAACCCGCCTACTAAATTAAGTGTCATCCAACCCCCTGTACTATTAAAAAACGGTCATATAAGTATATTGACCGAAATTCAACCTATAGTAGACGGTATCTGATGACGTGGAGATATTTTTGCCAAACTGGGACGTTTTATCCACGCAATGGCTCAGGTGGAGTTTTTTTCCTTGTACCGACCTTGGATCCACGTTATTCATATCATCACTCATCCTCTCCACTCTTCTCTGCGCAAATCAAAGAAAATTTTAGGGTTCTCAAAGAACAATTTGTTCTTCGTCTCCTATTTCAATAGTTTGAAATCTCCTCTGAACAATTTGTTCTTCGGCTCCATCTCTCCACTATGAACCACCAATATATTGTTACTATGACTTGAAAGCTCCTCTGTGCGTCACAAAACGAAGTGGTCACATGTTCTTCGGTTGCCAAAGATGGAAGGTAAAGGAAGCGTATTAACTTGGGGCTTAATTGTTTTCTGTAACAGCATATGTATGTGTTCTATTGAAATGTTAATTTTGATGAAATTAACAAGTACTGTTAATAATTATTATTATTATAAAAATGTATGGATGTAGACTTGCATTCAAATGTAATTTGTTTGCTTACTGCTTGCAAGTTTTAAGAATTCATCTCTACATTCATGTGTAATTTTACATTATTTATATTCTTATTCATTTTTTGAATTGCTAGTTTTTGTAAATTGAATTGATAGTTAAATTATATCCTGGAAATAAAAATAATTTCTTTACATTTATTTTATTATAAATAGCTGCCTGGAGGAGGGTGTGGATTCTTCATATGGAAAGAAGATAATAAAATGGAAGAAGGTGAAATTCCAACCCTATGCATGAAGCAGATGACAAAACGGATTTCAGAGTTGAGTGATGAAGTCATACATGTGCGGGCCGAAGTTGCTGAATTAAAAGATGTTGGTGAAGCTGGAGTAGAGGAAATTAAGAAAATTATTAAGTGTATGCTAATAGCATTTGTACTTGCAATGTGTATATTTGGTGTTGTACTACTGAAAGGAACTAAGGAAAAAGTTTTTAGTGTTTTGGTTTTGTTTTTAGGTAGCATCACTTTTGTTGTATTCAAAAGTGATTTGTTTATCATGTAATGACTTGTTCCAGATAGTTTAAGATGTACCTGAATCTATGGTTTGTAACTTCATCTAGTAGGTTAACAAATTTGGTATGACTTTTGTGACTTTATGTGGTAATACGTAATAGCATGCTTAATTATGAATGTGGCAGCAGTTGCAGGTTTGTTACTTTCGATAGTTAATATTGCCCCAGGTTAACATATTCCAAGAGTCTTTTTTGCAGCAAGTTAACATATATTGCAGTAGCTTTATATGAATGAGTTGGTCATGAATGTTGCAGCAGCTATTTAGTACATAATGGGGTCATTTTCTACTGTCCAAATACAAAGTGGGAAGATTATATGTCTTCATAACACAACCCCGGAGCATTAAAAATGGTTGGCAAGTGAATATGGTTTTATCTTCTTCTTAGGGATGCTTTTTAAGAGTCCATCTTCTGTATGTAAAGGATGTAAATTATGGAAGAGAAGAGACAACTGACTAACTAACTATTCTATATGGAACATGAAACCATACAATACTGTGCAAGAACTATGGAACATCTGACTGAAAAATCAAAAGAACCTGTTACGAAAATGTCATACTGATTGGAAAAATAAAAAGAAGCTGCCATTAATAATCAAAAGAAGCTAAGCTGCCATTAGTAATCAAAAAAAGCTGCAAGGGAAATATCACACTGACTGGAAAATCAAAAGAAGGTGCCATAAATAATAAAAATAAACTGATAAGGTCTACTATTAAAAAAACATGAATAACCATTCTCATTACAATGAAGTGTGCAGTAACAATCAAACTTGACTATATACTGGACACTTCATTGCCATTATCAAACTTATATGGTGTCATAATAAAGCAACACGAATAACAATTATATCAATAACCATGTCTTTCATAACAGTGGACAAAAAAAGTGCTTACAACACACTTGCTAATGCCATATTGCCTACACATAGGCTATTTTCACCAAAACATAGTAACAAAAAGGCATAATAGTCACTTAAGATTAAGCATAGTTTGGCTTAACAAAAACTTCAAATACATAAGGGGTTACATCCCTTTTCAATGTGTCCTCTAAGCATTGTGGAATATTCCCTCTTCAGTTGTGCCCTTCATTTACTCCTCCATGGGCAGTATGCCTCATTTTTTTGGCTTTTGGAGGTTGACGAGATGATGATGGTCGGGTGGAACTTGTTTGAGAATCATGGGGTTTGTTGGGACACTTTGCTTTATTATGACCTTCTTTCTTGCAAACTGAACATGTCATTATCCTCCCTTTCCTTGACACAGTACTCCTTGCCTTCACAGATTGTCTCACCTCATTCGCCTCACGAGTTTTTTTCTTCTTAGGTCTCCCAGTTAATTTTTTAGGAATCGGGGGTGCAATATCATTATTTTGAGTCCTTGGCCAAAGCAACTCCCCATTCATTGGCTCAAGATGGTGTGAATAAATGGTCTGGTACACTTCCTTTGAGTAGCAATGATCAATATAATTGGTAGGCTCCCCACCCATGTCAAAGATAGCGCATATAGCATGTTGACATGGGATGCCGCTCAAGTCCCATGCTCTACATGAGCACATTCTCTCGTGTAGTCTAACCTTGTATTGATGCCTCCCTCGTTTGACCTCATAGCCATCATCACCATTAAAAACCACCTAGAAAACAAAAATGTCCACACCTATAACATAAGAAACATAGTAAACCCATCACTCAAATTAAATACCATTCTTACAGACTCACCTTCCAACCCATACTTGCGATGATATTAGCATTTAGTTTCTTCATGATCCGAGGCCCATGGTTACCAACCCATTTTGCTCCAAACTGCACCTTGCGTGCAATCCTCTTCATGGTGGCAACTCTTATGGAATTATAGGTTTTGAACGTGCTTTCACAATAGTGTTATTAAATGATTCTGACAGATTATTGTCGAGAATATCACACTTCACATCCGTTCGGAAGAATGCCTTGCACCATTGACGGGGATCGTACACTTCTAAATCAGTTTTCGCTGCATCATTGACCTTTCCAAGAGCACTCATTTGCTCAAGAAAATCTGCTTCTGTGGTGCACCTTGCACATATCCAGAAATGATTTTTCATCACCTTGCCTCTGTGCTTCTTACTCCAATTAGCATGAATATGTCTGCAACAGTTTCTCTGCTCAGAGTTAGGAAATAACTCCTTGATCACATTCACCAAACCCTAGAAAAAAATACAAACAGAATTATATTTTCACTTAATATATAACATTTACTAAATTATAAAAAAATAAAGCAACCTACTTTCTGTTGATCACTCATCAAAGTCCAATGATGCGTGTTGTTGATGTCAAGGTCATGCTTAAGTAAATCGAGAAACCATCTCCAAGAGTCCGTGTTCTCTATCTCTACCACAGCCCAAGCTATAGGGTACATTTCATTATTTGCGTCCCTACCAATTGCAGTCAACAACTCCCCTTTAAGCATGCCTTTTAAAAAACATCCATCAAGCCCAATTACCTTACGACACCCTGCTAAAAACCTTCTTTTCAGTGCCCCAAAGCATACATACATCCTCTGAAATACTTCTGGACCGTCTTCAGTCACCCTCTGTGTCTTTACTATCACAGTGCTCCCAAAATTGGACCTAATACACTCGTGTGCATAGTCTCTCAGTCTATTAAATTGCTCCCCAAATGATGCATTCACTTTTTTTAACACATTTCTAATCACTCTCTTCACCTTGGAAATGTTGACATTTAGCTTTAACTCATCACGTACTACTTTCTGTAGCTCAACATTTCTAATGGAAGGATTTTCAAAGATTTTATTCTCATATTTTTCTTCCAGCCAGGTCTGACTTACCACCTTCAATTTGAATTTCTTATTGCATCTATGCTTACCAACCCAAGTCTTCAACTGGAAGCATTTGTACTGATTTGACCATGAGGCAGTGCACTTAAAAGGACATTTACCTACACAAGTTGCTTGAACTCTTTGAGGCTCATTCTTTTTCCACCTAACATCTCTTTTCTTATGCACTGCGTAGCTGATCAATGCACTCTTAAACTGTCTACCATCATCAAATAACATGTCTACCTCTAGACTTTTTGATTCAGACGGTGGATTATAAGTACAACATTTCATATTCTTTTTGCCTTTGGAGTGAACATCAGAACCTTCTTCATGCCCTTCTTCAGAGTCTGACTCACCACTTGGGGGATCATCCGAGTCATAATACTCACTGCATTCTTCGGCATCCTCAATCCCACTCTGAGCATCCCTTACATCTCCACCGATGTCATCATTTAGCTCATCCTCATCCTCGTTAGAAGTCTTGTCATCCCCAGATTCTAAGGACTCTTGACCATCTTCTTCATGCTCTGGAATATCTCTATTTAATTCTGGCTCTATATGATGACAATGTGGTGCATTACTGAGCATTTCAGCTTGTGTTTGAACCTCATTTGGTGGCTCTTTTTCAACCTGTTGTTCTGCCTGCACTTCCATTGTCTCAAACATTCTGAAAAAAAAAACATGAAATATTACCTCTAATTAAATCAGTTTTTTTCTTCTAAAAATCATTTACAGATACAAATTAATCATGTGTAATATAGAAAACAACATATAATCCCTATACCATGGTAGAAACACTAAGGGCTGTTGTCCATAGATTAATGTCTCTAGCCATGCAGAAGATCCATAAAGCAAATACAATTACCCTACTATGGAGTGCCAATTAAGTGTGCACTTGTCTATCAGTTTGAACATCCCAATTCGTTGTGACCCTCAAAACGGTGATGGTATTTACAAGTTCTAATGAAATCAGTTTGTATATTAAATAAGTGCCCATTCAAGTACACAAATTTACAATTAACAGAATTATGCATAAATTACTCATGCCAAAATTGAAAATAAATTCTCTGTTTCAAACTAACTGAATAATAAACTAAAAGAATTAGCTATATAGTCAGTTTATGGTATCTCAGTTCATAAACTCAACATGTTTTAACTTAACAAAACTCTTAGTTTATGGTCACTTGAAATCAATAAATTAAACTAACTAGGTATACAAGATAAAATATTGGAACTCACTTGAATCCCTAAAGCGTGAGCCGTATCTCCTTGAATCCCAGGCCTCGCGATGAGCAGCCTCTTATGTCGAAACCCCTACCTAGATGGTCAGTTATACAGCCTCGCGATTCCCTTCTTCACAACCATGTCAGATTCGGCGGAAACAATTGTGTATGTCGAATAAACCTAGCTGGGAATAAGGTCTGCATAAGGAAAAAATCCACGTGAGCTGTGTAATATGTTCAGATTTTGCAAAAATACCTCCACGTCAGCAAATATCGGCTGCTATAGGTTGGATTTCGGTCAATGCACTTATATGAACGTTTTTTAATAGTACAGGGGGTTGGATGACACTTAATTTAGTAGGCGGGTTTAAGTGACGGTTTCAGAATAGTAGAAGGGCCTATTTGACCCTTTTCTCTAAATATATTGAAAAACGTGTTAGTCGACAGTTTGGTTAGTGTACAAGGAGAAGGATCTTTCCTGTATTCAAGGTTTGATAGGACATTAAATTTCAAACCCAAACATAAATTGGATAGGACATTAAATTTCAAACTGAAATGCAAATTCACATAAAACTGACCGGGTAAAGATAAATAACATTAATTATACATAATAGGGATTCAAATAAATTAAAAGAACATAATATTACTACAATGTAAAAATATATAATATCTTGGGATCTCTCAAAACACATAAGAAATCCACCTTTGTATTTGTAGACAGACTACTGAGATATTATCGGAATGGAAAAGATTCAATTTTTGAACTGCCTATGGAGAAAACGTTCTCCGCACAGTCTCAAGTGGGCTTCTCCAATCAACTCATAAACAGGAGAAGAAACTGTTGAAATAGAAAAGAGACAAAGGAAACTTGAATTATCGATAGAGAGCAAAAAATCAAGCCATATAAAGAAAGCTCTCTCCCACTTATAATATCTCTCTATTCACCTCTGGTTCTTTTAGGAAAGAAAAACCAACCACTTCCATTTATTCAACTTCAAGTGGGCCTGCAACTAAAATAATCATATCTGCGATTAGAGGAGATGAGAAACCATTTCGGTCAGCAATACAATATATTTCTTAGCATAGTTAGTAATATTATTATATTTTACAAACCAGAAACAATCAAACGAGAGAAACATAACTTACATAAAAACATGATGAGAAGTGTCATGCCCCCCCCCCCCTCCTCCTCCTCCTCTACAACTGCCCCAATTGTGATACTCATAATAACGATATCTTGAAGATTAGAGGTTTATTCAACCTATGTCATTTGAATAAACAAAAAACAGTCAATGAAAAAAAAAGCAAACAGACCAATGATTTTACATGTTTATTATAAAATGAACAAACAATCTACACCATAGACACAAAGATGTAACATTCCATTGAACCCAAAGCCATATAATTAAAGTTATATAAAATCTCACAAACCCACGGAAAACATAGTCAGGAAACAATCAGAAGCAAGAATGAATATAAAAACTATTCTTATATAGGAACAACTGTGTTTCACATCACATATTACATCCAAATAAAATCCAAATTAAATGATGCTCTGTTTAGACTTACCCCACAAAAAAAACAGAAATTCGTGTAGTTTGAAGTGTGCAATAGTACCACTCCTAAGAAATTCGTGTATGTTCTTGACCGGTTTTATGAGGTTCTTCACGAGTGAAGAGAGGGATTTTTCTGTCATGGGAAGCTTTGATTCTTTCTTCCTTTCAGCCAACTAAATCCCTGAGTGATTTATTCCCCCAAACCTCAAAAACTTTTCTGATCTGTATATAGGAATAATTGAAGAATTCGAACTAAGAAACGGAAAACCCCTAATTAATTAAGGGATGGAAATCATTAACAATTAATTGAAGAATATGTCAAAAGCAAAACAACATCAAACAAAAAATGAAACCAAAAATGTCAGTATTGAAGAAGATGTACGGTGCTTCAGAACCTGAACCGGTATACCATTGTTTTGATGGAATAGAGCGTTAGGGGTGTTCCTGAATGTTGGAAGGCTTGCAGTTCGCCCATCGTGTACTGTTATTCATTTTTATTCAAATCAAACTCAAAACAACATTTTCAAAAATACAAAAGCAGAGATAGCTTGGAAGAGATAAAAGATAAAATAAACCTTGGAACCTCGTGCGGACGACATCAAGGCGATGAGAATATGTGACGGTGGCGAACCCCACGATGGTGCCAGCTGCGGCGTTCTTCCGTGACTGTGAGGAGCTTGATATCTGAAGATGGCCGCTGGAGGAGTGCGCACGAGAACCCTAGGTTCTCGTTCATTAGGAAATGAAGTAGAGAGAAGGGAGAGAGGCCAAGAAATCTCCGCCAATGATTTAGGATAGAGGTAAGATGGGAGCAGGGCTTTACTCGGACGAACAACAAAAGATGCAAATGAGTCCACAACATCACCAAACAGAAGCAGTAAACGGGGTTATTTTTTTGTACTGTACAAACGAGAAAGGGACCATACTAACTCTCTTCCGCCTTTTATATTGTAGGGAGACTATGAAACAATTAATATCATGAATAGGAGTCTTATAATTGAAGAAAAATGCTAAAGGTACCTCAATTGGTACCCCAATTTGTACTCCACCCTATTTTTGTGGCTCACAAAAGCACCTCATTAAAGTGGGGTAATTCATTTATTGAGGTGGGCTTTTGTGAGCCACAAAAATAGGTTGGAGTACAAATTGGGGGTACCAATTGGGGGTACCTATAGCAAGGTTGATAATTGAAGGTGGTTCTCTGTAAATGAACAATAAGTGAGATGATGCATAACTTAATTTCATCGGCAAAGAAATGTAAAAAATCATAACTTTATTTTATGATAATTAGAATGGCATGAGCCTTATATCACAACAAAACAGATCAAAACATATTAGATCAAATCATGTCAGAATTCAACAACATTGCAAAGTACACATAGAACATACGTGAACCATATCATTTCAGATCAAACCAGATCAAACTTAAACAGATCAGACTAGATAGACTTGACCCGAAGATTTCAAACATAGATTAACACAATTGTACTCAACTACAATTTCACTAGACTCCTTATAGAAACTTTTACTCAAACACAATTTAATACAATTTTACTAGAGTTATACACAATTAATAATCTATTATAATTTTTATTCTTCTTATTAACTACTAATTTATTTATTTTCTTATTCCCTACTAATTTATTGATCACTTTTAATTACGAGCTAACTAAAAAATAATAAACACTATGTAGAATTTAACATACACTAAGAGGCCATTTTGTAGCACGAAAATCGGCTGTTTTGGCTGATTCTGCTGAAATTTATGAAGTTCTGGCTGAAGTGGCTATATTGGCTGATTTTGCTGATATAAGAAAAAATTATTTTTAAAATATATTTTATGTAAAAATTATATGTAAAAATAGCTAAAATAGTCATCTATAGTCACTTTAGCCAATACAGCCAGAAAAGTAACTCTAACCTTACTTTTTCTGCTTATTACACAACTCAGCGCGTGAAAGCAAAAGTTACGTGTTTGGGGAAAAAGGTGGCTGATAAGCCTGATAAATCGAAAAACAGTGTTGTCAAACGGCCTCTAAGTTAATAATTATTTAAACCTTTTTCATGTCTATATTGTGTAATGAAATGAGCATTTTTAACTAATGATGTAAACATCTTCCAGTTTATATTTTCTAACAACAATGTTTGTTGTACCTGTTGGAAAAATGTGTGAAAAATTGCATTAAATGGCTATTTTGGGGCAATTTTTTGAGTGGGGCCCACTTCCGATTTGGGTCGGGTCAAAGTGGTTTCGGATTGTCCTTGTTAAGGGCTACAATTCGATATATGGTACGCTCAAAACGGATAACGGGTGAACGAGAAATCGCTTTTCGAAGTTTACCCGTTAGAATGGAAAAACTGGGAAAAAGAATGAGTTTCTAGTGTTAATTTCCCACACCGGAAAACCCAAGGGATTTGCAATCCTTTATAAAGGGACTCCCCCCTTAAGGAGTTAAGATTCCTTAGGGTAAAGGCTCTCTTCACGCGCGCTGGGGGGTGGGGTGCAAATCAAATCCCGAAATCGGAGAAGAAAAATCGCGACTTGCGTGCGCGGGCGACCTGCGGACACGAATGTCGTCCAAAAATCTATATCTCAAGCGATACGATTAATTTTTGCTTTCTTCCCGAAACGTTTAATTTTTTCCCAGCGGCAGAAGTGCTCGGACAGAAGCCTACGGAACAGAACACCTCGTTGGTGTTCTGGTGGCCTCGTGACAGAAGCCCTCAGGGGTCTTCTGATGACAGAACCCCTCTAGGGGTCTTCTGATTGGCCTCCGATCAGAACCCCTCTGGGGGTCTTCTGATTGGCCTTCGATCAGAACCCCTCCCGGGGTGTTCTGGTGGACGTTTTCTATCGCGCTTCTGAAACGTTACAACAATTAATGTCCAACGTTCTTATCTTTTAATGCAGCGTTAAATGGACAGTTCATGGACGATTCAATGCCCAACGGACTGGTCATTGATGTCCAACGTCCAGGTCCATTAATTCACCATTTACACACAACAAATCCTCCTATATAATGGCTGGCAGGTGGTTTGCAACAACACACGAATTGATACACTCCATGCACGTTTTGCACCTCTAAAACACACTCCTAGCAATCTGAAAATTCCCTCTGTGTTCATACTGTGTTCTCGTTCGCTGGAACTTTTGTTTGTGTGCTCAAACATTAGTTCGTAGTCATCGTATCCTGGGAAACGATTGTTGCAACGCTCCTAGCACCGTGGGAGGCAACAAATACGTTTTAAGGACATCGTGCGTAGCACGAGCTTTGACTAATTCTGCTTCATCTCCTTTCTTGTTTTTCGCTAGTCATTTTATTTAATTACTTTATTTTAATTAATTTTCTTTATTTTCCGAAACACACCCAACAGTACCCACCTTTATACCCACCATGTCTGTGAAAGTTTTTTTTGTTTGTGAATCCGGTACAAAGACCAAATGTGTTATTTTGTATGTGCAAATTTTGCACAAACAAAAATTGTCTATGAACCGAACGCATAGACAAAAAAACTTTCACAAACATGGGTGAGTATAAAAGAGTGGGTACAAACATAATTTTTTATTTTATAATGAAAAGAACATTTTTATCTACACCTAAACAAAAAAAGAAAATGTTAAATGCCTATTTTTATCCATTAAATTTCATCTGTGGCTTAGCTTATTGATTATATTGTTTCAAAACTAACTACATACTTTTGTAATTTAGTTATCTAAAAATGTTCGTAGTTAATTTTTTTGGAAGATATTAGTCCTTATTTTTTAATATTTGATTATTAATTTACATTAAAAAGTTTTGAATAAGGACTAATATCTTTTTTGGGAAGATAACTTGGTGTTGAATATGTATTATTTTTAATATTTGATGATTAATTTATCATTAAAAAGTGCCAATTATTTCCTAAAATAGAAAGTAAGAACATTTAGTTGAGACGGAGTGAGCAGTAGCTTTCGATGTCTCATAATAAACTTAAGTCTACTAATACCATTACCACATAGCTAATTTAGGCCGTGTAATGACACTCTATTGCCTTAAGATGTTTGGGATTTGGTACAGGTTGGTGTAATATACTCCCTCCGTCCCATTGGATTTTGCCAACTTTCCCGTTTTGGTTGTCCCAAAAAACTTTGTCACTTTCCCATTAAAATAACTATTTTGTGGTTTTGCTCATTTCTCTCTCTTCTGTACAAACTTCAACCATTCAATTTCCACTATTCTTGTATCTCATCTAATTCAAAGATTGCATAGTCCATTGGGACGGATGTAGTACTATTTTAATCAATTAGGATGTTTTTACTTGGGCTGAAATTTTCTGGTCTGGTCTGAGCTGGTCTAGTTTGGTAATGTCTGACCTCTGTGTATTGACATATTGTATAACTATCCAAGTCTGGTCTGGTCTGTGATTGAAAAAAGTCCAAGTAAAAACATCATAATGTATGATTCCTATTATTTGTTTCTTCTCTTCACAAATCTCAATTACATAGTTTCAACATAATTATTCCCCATGCCGGTTAACTTAGAAAGTTTTTAATGGACTGATGGAGTAATATTTAAAGACTTTGAATCTATTAAAGCCATTAAATTTGGTTGTTATTTTTGCGCAAATAACATACGAGCACCAAATGGAATACCCCTTATTTTTCTCTAACCATCTCGACAACAGGAGTTCTGGAGGGCATATGCTTGGTGGGGAATCTCGACTTTGCCTTTGTGGGAAGTATAAATGTACATTGCATAAGTACTAAAAGTGCTTCATATTTCAATGTACTAGATATATAACACTTTCGAGGAGCCCATATTAATGCGAGTTTTTTTTGTGTGAATACGCCCTCAGTCTCAACTAGCATTTATTTGCTTGCTGATTTTCACAATTAAATAATGTCATTTAGATTGCGCTTAAGATTTGTATTTATTACATTCTTTATGTTTTATTTGAAAACATCAACTTCATTAAAATTAGAATGTTACAAAACTATATATTCTAAATTCTTTTTTGGAAGAAGTTAAAACAATTAAATTACTCATTTCTAAATCCCAGAAGGGCTAATATCTTCAAAACAAATTACCACACCCATTATTAAATAAAGGGAAAAATAATTAAAATGCCCCAAACTTTGAAGGGGTGTGGATGAACACTCCAAACTTCCATATGTAATTTAAATACACCAAACTTTATGTAAGAAATTATTTTAGCTTCATAATCAAGTATAATTTCTTTCAAAAATGTAAATTTATGGTGTTAAATGCATAATCTGAAATATTTTAGAATTCATGAAGACACGATTAACATTCTAAACTTCCGTTAGAAAATAAATAATGTTACCCCCAATCTATATAATTGCAACACTTTTAATTTTCTATTTTAAATTATGCAATTAACCCAATAAATTTACATTTTTGAAAGAAATAATACATGAAAATGGTGTAAAAATAACTTTTTTATAATACTATATATAGTTTGTACCTATCATACTATATATATGTAGTAATATAGTTTGTGCATATAGAGTGCATGTGAGTGTGTGAGTACGACAATTAAGTTAGAGATTTTGAAATTGAGTGTATGTCACAAAAAAATCTAGGTAAATTAAGATCATGAATGGGGAGCAATTTATTGGTTTGTGGATTATTTGAAATTATCTTATGTAGAAGTGACATGACAATAATAAGCCATGAAAAATCGTAAAATTGAAGATCATCAATGTGGATGCTCTAATAACTCATACATATGTCAATGTGCACGCGCACACACACATGGTAAAACTTAACTAAAAGTAAATCATTTTATCTCGGTAAAGATACTAGTTGGATATATAACAATAGCAAAGTGACCTAAATGGAAACTTAGAAAAACTTACATTAAGGAAGAGGTTTCTTTCGCCCT